AAGAGAGGTGAACCAGGGAGGGACTTTCACAGACCGAGGAACCACTCCCCCCCCCCCCTAAGCATAAGAAAATTTATGCTTAGGGCATCTCTAGATGGCCGGAAATTACACTCTCGCACCTCTGCTCAAAACATTCTTTATCCAGAATAGTCATAATCACGAAAGATGAAAAACCAGATCACATCCTAAAAACAAAAACAGTCACTAAGACATACATCAGGAGCCGATTCGATGGAGTTTAATGTCATACCCAGGGAAGGGCACAGATCTGTTTTGAAAGGTGGAGGGGGGGGGGGGCATTTTGTGAGTCGACACCCACCTGGTTGGAGCTGAGGTGAGAAAATTTGAGGAAATACGGTAGTACCTCTAGATGGCCAGAAATGACACTTTTAGTAAAATTCATCATCATCACATCACCATTAGTCGAAATGAAGCGCCAAAAAAAATTCTCATGATATTTTATCAGGAATTTTTGACAACCATAGAGATCTTATTAATGTGTGTGTATACCATAGATAACAAAGCTTAAAAACATTGTCTTTGAGTATGTACATTACATAGGCCTACTTCAAAAACGTGATTTCACAACCACCTAGCCCCACCATGGCTGGGGCTGAGGTGAGAAAATTTGAGGAAATACCTCTCGAGTTGGCTGGAAATGACACTTTTATATAGTAAATTCATCATCATCACATTACCATTATAGTCAAAATGAAACGCCAACAAATTTCTCATGATCTTTTATCAGGAATCTACTTAATATCCAGGACAACTTAGGCCTAATTATAGCTTACTAAGCTTTAACTATACATACTATATTTTTATCAACAATTCACAACTTTTTTTCGCATTTAGCACAATTTTCTTCACTTTTTATTGCTATTAATATTATTATCAATTATTCTGACTATCGTCATCATCATCATTGTTATTATTATTATTATTATCATTATTATTACTATTAGTAGTAGTATTATTAAACAAACATTTAAAGAAACTAGCAAAGGGATAAAAACGAAATCGAACCACAGTATCGCATTTCTATCTTAAAATACCTGGCCTGAGATTTATGGATTTAAGATTTTTTTAAATCACGCTTAGGCCTATGCGTTCTATTAGGCCTACGTGTACTGATGCATATTGACATGTTTAGAAATATTCACTTTGAGTGATCCCAGGAAAGAATTTGTATTGCCTCAAGAAAAGCTTTAAAATTTTAACACTGTGAGGGGGGGGGGGGGGGGGGGGGGAGAGCCGCGGCTCCCAACTGGATACGTCCCTGTCCAATACCATCTCAGTTCTGTTGTATAGACGTGAATGTGCAGTGCTGTTAAAACATTAAACATGATATGTCATTTTTTGTTATATGTTCCATGACAGGTTATTAATGATATCTTCTTCGCCATATTGTATTATAATCAAAGTTATTAGTATAACTATACGTGCTGCCCCTTCTTTTTGCATTCGGTGGATTACTGTTTTATTCTTATTGCTTCTATTTCCCAAAACTGAAATACCATAATCCATACATGGCTGGATTGTTTTTAAATATATAGTTTTGTTAATAAACTTTTATTTAAAGCGTAGTCTAGTTTCGAGAGTAGATTCAGTTTAGCACTTGTATATCTTGTTACCTTTTTAATGTGATGTTCCCATGTTAAATTTTTATCAATTTCAAGTTCGTGGTATCTAATATGCTGGAAGTTTTCAAGGTACTGGTTTCCAAGACGAATGCTTAATAGCATAGGAGGTGGAATAACGTGTTTATTTTTATTAACATACTTTTGTCCGTATTAACTTTTACTTGACTATATTTCGGTACCCCCTCCCTCCTCTCTGAAAGTGTACAAAAAAAAAATGTTGATTTTACAAATCCATTCTCCCTTTTTTTGTGAAATCAATTAAAGCAATGTACTTTGTTGATTAAAAATGAATATTATACTAATGGTTACATTATAAGTTTACCATTATTTTACATATTGCATGTTATTTTGAATCATTTTTATGCATAAGTGTACAAATTTGTCTACACCGCCCCAGCATAGCCTACTGTTTGTACACAGTGACCCCTTAGTTGTCTCAGCTTGTATCGCTGTCTTCGTTTCATACTGTTTCATGTACAAATTATTTTTAATACTGTTTTTTTTTTGGGTGTGGGTGTGGGGGGGGGGGTCACCATTATGGCACTGTGACTGCAGTTGGGTATCCAGTTGCCCGCTACCCCCAAATTACTTGCTATTCAACTAGTACCAATTACTAGATCAACTGATATATTTGAGATAAAATAAGGAGTAATATGTTGCTTACTTTGAAAAAACATTATACATCAATTTATGCTCAAATGTTTCCTTAACTGTTTTTGTTAAAAAATTTAAAGTTCATAGTTACGCAACACATGCCGTATGATAATGTATTTTATATCATGTCATGTGACATTGGGAATATGCACGTGTAATAGTACTCACCTTCACAATAGAGTAATATCGACGAATATGGAAGCATCTCGTAGTACCATAATGTGACGTTAGATGACCATGGTATGAATATACGGTAGACACAGTAGGCAATAATGACACTACCAAGAAAACCGATAGAAGCCCTATGTAGTCTATGCATCTTTAAACAATGTAAAACCAGGACGATAACTGAAGTATGTTCAGACAAAGTTTGCCAGTTAAACTTGACCCATGCCCCTGGTGCGTAGGCGGGGCCTGATAGGCCTACTTTGTATAATGATAGGCCATGCATAAATAAATATAGAAATGATAAATATATTGCAACATTGCTATCTAGCTGCCCATATCAAAATTAAATTCGAATTGCAAAAATATAAGGAAGTCGGTCACTGTAGTCCAAGCCTTGGCCTAGGGCCCCTGGTGGGTCCAGGGGTGAAGCACCGGAAGGTCTGGCGTTACTAAATTCAGCTTGTATCTTGTCCTTTTATCGTATAAGGAATGCAATTAATATTTATTTCCACACTATCGTACATTTTCAAATTACAGTGACGGATATCCCGGAATTGGAAATAGAACACATCTAGATGTGTATAAGAGACGGGAGTTTTACAGATGAATTGTAAAACCATTTTTTCCCTGGACGTTTTGAGGCAGTGGCGATTGGTGGCTCTATAAATTCAAAATATCACAATATACTGTAACAATCTTCAACATTTTACCCCTCTAATTGGGGACCAACCCCGAAACCACCCCAAATTTTTAGGTCCCAAAGGTAGTCTGAAATTGGAGGGCCTCAAACGTCTAGGAAAAAAAGGAGAAAATTCTGCTCTAAGTTTGAGTCTAAGAGTGCCATTTCCGGCCATCTATAGATAGCCGGAATGATTATGCACCTCTATAGAGTTGTCATAATCATGTTCTTACATCAGCCCCAAACATGTTGGGGCTGAGGTAGTATACACCCTCCATCTTGGACTTTACTTAAGCAGTGATGCCACACGTTTACGAACTCCGAGGTTGTTGACGCAATCTCGCCATGACGTCATGATAGCCTAATGTTAGACAAATCACGATTATGTTTGTAAAAAGAAAATGCTAATGCTAATCACAGACCCTATGGTCTGTGTGCTAATGAATGTGCTCCCATCGCCCTAGATGGTAGTTGTATTTCTAATCACAATTTGCAATACTACATCCGGCCAACCCTCTCTAATTATAATAAGCACCGCGGTGCTTAATCGAGAGTACATATTACCTGTGTGACAGTATGTTAAACACTTTGAGAAACAGGTTTTAAATACAATGTATGTGTTCAAATAAATAAATAACACAATGAAGACTTGTAAGCGTTTATTTACGATGATGTACCAAACTACAAACTACGGTACCTGAAGTAACATGGAAACGCATGGAAAGATATAGCGCCACACCAACAATTTTTCGAATAAGGGCCGCTCTCGAATAAGCGCGGCACTGAAGCGTCTAAAATTGTATAAGCGCCATTGCGCTTAATCAAGGATTTACGGTAGGTTTTTTCAAGGAGGTTGGCCTGCTGCAGTACCTACTCTTTGGTTTTCTTCACACCAAAAACTAAACCTCCAGTTTTTCCTTAAAAGATCAATGCATTTTCATTACATACATCTGAAATGCACATAGGCCTAATCAATAAAACTTATACTATAATGCATGATTCATCATTTTGAATTTTACAGAAAATGTAAAAACTGTCGAACTGTTGACTGTCAGGAAGTCAAAGAGATATGGTACATATTAATATTTTTGAATATTTGTATTTTAAAGTTAGACTTTTATAAGCACTTATAAGCACACATCACCAATGTCTTGAATTATTTTTCTATGCACTCCTTAAAAAACCCATCTATACTAAGCGATTTCTTATCTAACATACCGTCACAATCCCCATCTCGAGAAATATCTCTAGACCCTTTCTCCCATTCGTTGATCTCCTCACACAGAGATCATGACCTGCAGTTATCAGTCTGTAACTGTTACACATGCAATCTTCTCACCCATTGGGATGTGCTTCTGCAACTTTTTCAAAATTGCCCATTCCAAGCTCGTTTCCACCATCACCAACAGCGGTTGTTTTGATGTTGTTGATGTTCATGAATAGCAGAAAGATGCAGACAGTTGGTCCTAACTTTCAGGTGTTTGAAATGTAGTGTATTTAGATAGCGAGTTTGACATTCATGAACAGATTAATCAATTTTACCAAAGAGAAATTTATAAATGAAAAAAGATACTGTAGAAGGTACTTTCTTTGAGCTGAGAGATATGGCCAATTAAAAATTTCAAGTCTTGCGTCTTCTGAATTAATTATATAATAGTATCAATAAGTATTATACAAGCCTTTAAGTATGAGCCAAATACAAAACAATCACCATTTGCATATATGACTAATGTTGCCAACAAACAACAACAATAATATTAATCTAGCTAGCCGCTTGCATTTCATTTTAGTTGTATCATTTGCACTGTACTATATAATCATAGAGTTCCTCCATTGTATAATTGTATAATCTTATAAACACTGGAAACATGGAGGCAAAAATGAATAATATAACGTAAAACCTTATATAGAAACCTGGGCAGCTTCTCTTTTTTGTGACCCTTGGATGGGCTTCTTTTCGAGATGGGCCTCTTTTGAAGATTAATTTTGTAAAATAAAGAGGGGCGCTTCTTTTCAAAATGAATGCTGTAAATTTTGGAATTGCTACTATACAACATTTTTTTAACCATGGAATTCGAAATTCTGTTAAATATTTTAAAATTTGTTTAAACCAGGCTAGTACAATAAAATAGTAGCGGCAGTTTGGGGCAGCATTTGATGTTTAAACTTTCAATTGTAAGGTCGGAATTTCAAGTCTCCGCTGTGCAGATTCCCTCGTGTCTTTGGGCAAGGCACTTTAGGTAGGCTTACATTGCTTCAGTGCACCCAGTTGTATCAATGGGTATCAGCAAAAGCTGCTGGGGACTAAACTTGAGACGGACTAGTCTCCCGTCCAAGGAAGTACAACTCTCATCAGCTTCACACTACAGAAACTGGAAATAACTCCAGCCATATGAGCCCTAGTGGCTCAGACAGAATTTAGTAGTTTTTAGTACAATAAAATAATATTGATACTAACATGCTATCATAATAATCAAAGGTAACATCAGTCAGAATGTCAGTAATATCTCGAAAGAAGCCCATATTATCTCGATTAGAAGCCCAAACTGTAGACTGTCTGAAAGTCAAAGAATAGATGGTTTACATTAAGATTTTTAAATATTTGTTTTTGTTAAAAAAAAAGTTCAGACTTATTAGCACTTATAGTGCTTATAAACACACGTCACCAATGTCTTGAATTATTTTTTTATGCACTCCTTCAAATGCAAGACCATCTACACTAAGCGATTTCTTATCCAATATACCATCATACAACCCCATCTCTAAAAGTATCTCCAAAACCTTTCTTTCTTTTTCTACAGTTGGGAGATTTTTGACAATATCGCAACTTGATCGTGAAAATCCAGATGATCTCCTCACATACCGATCATGAATGGGACATAAATACAAAAGTGCAAGTGCTGCAGATAAGGCGTAACCGCCCCAGTTTGAAACACCTGCCGTTATCAGGCAGTCTGTAGCTGTTACACATGCAATCTTCTCACCCATTGGGATGTGCTTGTGTACCTTTTCCAAAACCTTGCCCATTCCAAGCTCGTTACCACCATCACCAACACCGGTTGTTTTGATGTTCGGCATTAAAAGTGCAACTTCAAATATTAAATCAATATTTGCAATGTGTTTGGAAATATCCCTTCCTTTTGCAGTGTAATAATTGCCATCATTAGCTACACCACTTCGTTCTATAGCAACGAGATGATCAAATCTTGGGGTTAACCCATCTTTTTCAGTAAGAAACTGCGAAGCTTTTAAACCATCCATCTCAAATGGATATGAAACAACTGGTATGGTATTGGTCAAGATACCTTTGTCTAACAACGATTTAATGAACGACTCCATTATCACATCAAGTGTGTTCTCATCTGCTAAGAAACAAACCATTTTCCCCAATGACTGAAGCATCACTGCTAGAGCTACAGCTCCCGAGAGCCCATCATTCTCAAAAAGACAAGGAGCATTTATCATACAAGGGAAGCCTATAACAATAGCCACTGAAGAAGCATGGGACAGAAGCATTGCCGATTTCAGAAGGTCACCTTTTACAACAATACCTTCAATTCCTCGCATACCAGGATCCGTCATAATCAGTTTCTCCAATTGTGAGATTTTCATCACGGTTGAGTTAGAAGCAACACTGGCGAAGTATGGTTCATCTGATATATCTATAACACATGAATCTCCAGTACTATCGTTTAATCCAGCATCATCATCATCATCTAGTGGAGTATCACATATATACATTGAACCAGGGAAATGGCTGAACGCTAGTTGAGGTTTCAGTGCTTTGATAACTTCTACTCCTGTAACACCACAAGCCCAGAATACTGGAACATCTTCTCCCTTAAAGGTCAAGGCATCTCCATAATCCGGCTCAGCTATATCCTTGATACCAATAAGACCTGGATCGCCAATATGCACTGGTGCCCCGTGAAATTTGCTAAGGGGACTGGTGATTTTAAATGCTGTGCCAACTAACTGCTTTGGTATTGGACGAAGTGAAACGACCAAGTTGCATGAAAACGGTCCAATCGGGTAGCAACTTATATTGGTGATATACATACTGACATTGCATTGTTGTTCAATGTTTCTCAATGGTATACCTGCCTGAAGTAGTTGCTGATCAAATGAAAAGCTACAACCTAAATAAGAGGTGGTGAAATCTTCAAAGACATCAGCATATTTGAGGAGGTCACCAACCACTTCAGTTCTTTCACCATTCTTCCAGACACAGTAAGCAGGAACGTCGGTTCGTATGTCAGAATCACTCTTGGAAATGAGGGGAGCATCACATTGACCGGGTTTTGATTGAAATAGAAGGGGGAATGCACCTTCATTTGCCTTGAAAAATTTCTGTAAGTCATTTGCATATTTACTTGGTAAAATCATTAGGTTAGCTTGAACGTAACCTTGGCAAAAGCCACTTGTAGTCTTTTTGAAATAATTGCCAGACCTGATGGCCAACCTGGCCACACTGGGAAGAGTTGAAGAATTTATCATATTTAATTTCAAAATTTAGTGCCTACAGTATCTTTTTTTTCTGTTCTGTGCATGTACTACCTTAATGCTTAAATTTACATTGCTTTGATCTTATTGTAAGCAATGTGAAGATAAAATGTAAAAAATATTTTTCTAGAATCTAGATAAACAGCTGAGTACAGCGTTTATTTACAGTTACGACAAAAGTGTCTATCCGTTAACAGTGTGACACTTTAATCAAATCGGAATTTGACTTGTGCTATTTAAACTTTTAAATTTGTACCAGTCGTTGAGGCCTTCTTTGGTCTAAAATTTATTCAGGGCACAATACTGTTAGCTTTTCTTAGACTTAGCAAACCATTCACTATGTCCATCGGTAGTAAACTGATTCTTGAATATTCCTCAGCATTGGTATACCGTAATTTAGTTTGAGGGTCTGTGTACTTGGCCTGAGACAAACAAAAATGTATCAAATTATAATAAAACATACTTAAAAAAGATTAAAATTACACTTACAGTAACAATTATCGAACTGTACAGTAGGCCTCCTATAACTAAACTTACACTATAATTGTGCAGTTTGTTGAGAAACCCACTGACTGTGATTGGCATTATTGAAGATTATTGGCATATTGCTTTATTACTGTAAATGTATCAATGGATTGTATTATGAGCTCCAAAAAGGTGAACAATATATTGTTAAATCAAACCAGTTTTTTCCCCCATGATTAAGTAAATTTAAATCTATTACAAGGTATGTAAAATCTTTTGAGAAAAAAAATGTAAAAAACAAAAGTGTATGTGAATGAACATTTTGTGTACTTGTGTATGTTAAAAAAAAAATCAAATATATCTATTTATGAATTTATGTTACCTACAGTAAAAGGTGAAAGAATAATGTTAATAATCAAATGAAAGAACTGAAATAATAACCACTGAGAAATGAGAAAAAAAAAAACAGATTGTATACTGATAAAAAACAAATGCTGCCCCAGAATTGAAAATATATAAAGGTTGTTGTACTTACTTCTAAACCCGAGATATCTGAATATTTCTTGGATGGTTTAAAACTTGGCGGAGCATCAATACTACCATCTACAAAGAAAGTTTATATTGATAATTTTGAAAACGTTGATCAATTGCCAAGAAAAAATTGGTATTATGCAATACTATTAACCAATGATTGAAGGAATCGTGCCATACAATAATATATTTAATTTTCACCCAAAAATGGTACAAATTTCTTATTTTTATTTTGGCACAGCATAGCAGTTGAGACCATTTCATCTATTCAAAGAATAACAACAAAGGAATTTCCACATGGGTCCAACATACACCATACACTGTCTTGCTGAAGATTGTGACAAATAGTGAAATTTGATAAAACATGCGAATTCGAAAGACCAATAGAATTGAGATGGTGATGCACTAATTTTAAGTAGCGTATTTCTTATTTGAGGGCTTGCAGAGAGTTTCAATCTTGTTAAAAATCTCAATAAAATATTCAAAAGAAAACAAGCCAAAAATTGAATTTTTTTAGCACAACACACAACTTTATGCTGTTTTTCTAAGAACAATTATCATTTGAGATGAAATCTCATGAAGCTGCCTGTTTTGTTCATTTGGCTCAGCAGACCAACAAAATAGTGGATTTCAATATTTTAAGCTCTGTCAAACAGTATCAAATTTTCTGGGAAAAATATCCAATTTCTTATATTTTAAGTTACACACCTAAATAGATCCCTGTCATTTGATTGGTGAACTTTGTATCACGTGACATTGGTTATTTACTCCATTTCGTCACTCATCATGGAAAATTTTTCTATCTCTGCATTTTCTTTCCATCAGTTTTTGCCCATTGTAGGGTGCCTAGGATACGACATGACTTCAACCTAATACAATCTTTTGAATGGATTAGGATACGCTGGACTGTTCTATTTAAAAATTGAGTTGATTTTTTTTATAAATTAAGTTAGGCTGCCTATTGATAGGCAACTTAAGCCTTTATCTAGGCATAATTGATTGGTTCATGTTGAACTTAAGTTTGATGTGAACCAGGCTATTGCACTCATAAACATTCATTATTTGTATACCATGTCACAACTATAATACAAAAAAATCATTGTAGGCCTATTTGTCACATAAAAATTCATACTATTATTAATTTTATTGTGGGCATGGAGCTTTTATGGTAAAGTAAATGATGGTTTACACTTACATGTTGATTGACCCTGTCTCCCTGGTAATGCTCGTTCAGCTGCTGCAATCTGTCTTAGACTCTTCCAACCTTTGCTTTTTCTCCTTCCAGCAGTTTTATCATACTGCACCCAAAGAAGAAAATTAATATTTTTTGCATAAAAGATCTACCTGTGAGATTTTAATTTTGAGCCATACACATTTGCTTTTTTAAAACGCCAAAAAAAAAAAATCCTTACTAGCATTCATTCAATCCCATCAAGTTTCTCCAACAATCATTTGTAGAATTAAGTAAGTTGTTCCCAATAATTCCACAGTATCATTTTAAAACATAGATTTACAGTACATAATCTCATTTTTATGGATTTTAGAACAGAGTAAACAAGCCTGTATTCATTACTAGGTTGCAAGAGGACTCATGTTTATGATCATCTTTTTAAGCAAGAGTTGGCTTGTTTAGTAATTGTTTAAACATTTTACAAAAGGTTGCTGATCATCTTCAAGTTTAGCTAGAGTTTACAAAATTACCTATGCAATTATATATGGTGTATACTGTAGATACTGTAACCTGTGAAGACAAGAAATTAAAAGGATGATAAGCACAAAAAAAGTGTTTCCCTACCAAATAATTTGGGTCTTTAAATGATAGTTTAGGATCGACCAATCTTGGTAAACTGACTGTAGTGTTGTTAGTTTGCTCACTGCAGCTTGATTTCACCTCAATCTCAAACTGTTCTGCACTTTTTGTGGATTTTTCTATCACTGTTGCTTGAGGGAGAACTTCTTTTGGAGCTGGAGAAATACTGGTTACAACTGTGTTTGTAGTTTTAGTTGGAGTAGTTGAAGTCTTAAAAAGTAAAAAGAATTAACTATCAAATAGTTTAAATTCAGTGTAAAAATACTCTTCTTTTTTTTTACTTTCACAGCTCTACAATGTTTCAGTCATTCAAGATGAATTTATATTTTTTAAATTTTAATTAAATTATTTAAAACTTTATTTCACTTCCACACCAAGAGCAAGTACGAACATGCCACTTAAAATATATTACAGTAACCAAATTCTCATGAATTGAATGAAAATAAATTGAATTTTCTGAGACAATCTTTTGGTATTCTAACGGTTGCAGTTTGCAGAATGAAATACTGTAAGTCCATTTTTTTCACTTTTGTTTGTTACTTTTTAAAATTTAATTTAACTATCTTTTTATTGTCTGATGTATCGTCTTTGCCTCTGTGCTGTTTTGTTTTTTATTGTATGTTTGTTTGGCCAGGGGGGTTTGGAGGATAACCACATCTTGTGTTGAGCTCTCAGTTTCCCGCATTCTATATTTGCATTTCTAGAGCATATTTCTCGAAAAAAATGTTCCCACAAATACTGTAGATTCCCACAGTACTCTTGAGGTAAAGCAGACACAAGGTTTGTATTTCCTTGTTTATTTTATTTCTATTTTGATACATATTCTGATGTTCATAAAATATAAATGGTAATACAGTATACATAGTTTCCTTCTTTCTCCTTCAAAATTTCACTAAAACAGATTTTTTCTTTTTAGAAAAAATGCATATGCATTTACTACAACTCATATAAACCAAGGAAAAATATAAATTAGAGACTATTTCTCATAGGAGATTGCCATTTTCTAGATGATTTCTTTGTTATAAGGCAAATTCAAAGGTTAGATTGCATCCGCTGGAATGCTCTCGCTTTTTTGTATATATATCATTTAAAAAAAAATTTGAATAAAATTCCAATGAAATATTTCAATACTAGCAATGGAAAATATCATTTCGGCCGTTTCTATATCTGATAACAGAACCAAGATCGAGGTAATGCTAGGCTAGGCCTAGCTTAGCAGTGATGAGGCCAATGTTTCTGGCGCCTACTATATTTCTTCGCAGACCTATCGCAAAATCAAATATAAAAAATTCATCCGCGTTTATTTTTTGTGTGGAAACAGAAAAAAAAAAAAAATCAAATTTCAGTCTTATTTTATATTTTCATGCTTATTTTTATAGGAATGTCTAAATTCTGTTAAATTTAAACTAGCAATTCAGTATTATATTCATAAATCTTTATAAAACATATATAAAAATCAAATTTTTCTAAGAACTGAAAGAGGCCGTAAGCCTAAACACTGCACACACACACAAAAAAACTATTAAAAAATTACTTTTCAACTTCATAAAAAACAACTCTAGGCCTAGCGCTTACATCGGCGCTCCATACTGCGGCTGTTTATCGCGACCGAAATGCATAACAATACGGCGCGACCGGCTCAAATGATCTGTCTGTTTTCAAGCCTAGCCCCAGCAATCAAGCAAGAGGATTCATAACTAAATTATTCAAACCTACAATTACACACACAAAAAAACAAAAACACATTCTCTCACCGAACCACCCCTTCGTCGTTTTGGTGCAGAGGGGCTTGGAGTTACTTTAACCTCTTGTTTAGTTTGTTGAACATTTCTTCGCGACCGCGTATTCGGTCTTGAGGGAACAGACATTATTTGTTTTGGTCCGGTCCTACTAAATACCACACGGAACCACTCGCGACCACACGGGACCACTCGCGACCACACGGGTGCAAAAATGATAAAAATATTACCACACGAGAGTAGAAAACTACTTAATAATTAATAATAATTAGTACGGTAATTATCCAAAATATGAAATATTGTAAAAATGATTTTTTTTACAAGTTTTTCCGCCGTGCTTCGGAAGGTAATGTGGTGACATTGAGGTTCTGTAACGCATTCACGTCTCCAGAAACGCGTTCAACCTTGACCTCTACAGCATTCACTACGTACAGTAC